TTCTTTCTTTCTTTCTTTCTTTCTTTCTTTCTTTCTTTCTTTCTTTCCTTCCTTCCTTCCTTCCTCTTTTTTTTCTTTCTTTTTCTTTCTCTCTCTCTCTCTCTTTCGTTCTTTCTCTCTTTTTCTTTTTTTTGGTGTGGTTTTTCAAGACAGGGTTTCTTTATGGCTGTCCTGGAACTTGCTATGTAGACCAGGTTGACCTCGAACTCACAGAGATCTTCCTGCCTCTGCCTCCCTAGTGCTGGGATTATAGGAGTGCGCCCACTACCATGGAGCTCAAGACCATTATATGCTACACAGCAAATTAGACAGCAGTTAGGGTTACATGAGACCCGTCTTTAAAAAAAAAAAAAAAAAAAGAGAGGTCTGGTTAAGTGTCCTTGCTGTTCTTTCAGAGAGGACCCAGGTTCAGCTCCAAGCACCTGGCTGGCCTTAAACTCAGAGATTATTCTGCCTCTCTGCCTCTGCCACAATACCTGGCAAAAGCAAATGAACTTTTAAAACAAAACAAAAAACAAATCAAGAACGACAAAAACATGAGAGGAAAGGGGGAAGGGAAGAAGAAGAGAGGAAGGAAAAAGAAGATATTGAGTGATTAATGATGTGACACTGGCCGGCCAAAGGAAAGGGCACAATTACGCTGACTTTTCACAAAATGAGTCACAGAGCAGCAATGCGATGGGATTCTAGCGACTGCCCAATACTTGTCTAAATGCTGTCTGGTAGAATCTAAGGGTGAAAGTACAGTAAGCCTTAATGAAGGCCACAGACACAAGCCAGGAAGTGGACAACAGTATGAAGAAAATATCATATATTTATGTATTTGTTTGGTTTACCTTGTTGCAGTGAATTCTTGGTCTGAATTGTGGGAGGCAAAGATTTATTACCATTTTTGTGGCTAAGAAAATAGCTTCCAAGCATCAGAAACAGCCTATAAAAAAGGTGAAACTTAAAATTAGTCAGACACATTAAAATTCAGCTCTAAACTTTCACGAGTTGAATGTAAGAGGAGCAACAGGGCAGGAACAAAACTTCTGGTACATTCTGCATTGAACACCATTTCCCTGTATCCTACTGATGCTCACTGGAAAGTTAAGAGGGAGACTTTCTTTGAGAAAAAAAAATACTTATTTTATTTAATGTATGTGTGTGTGTGTGCGCACGCGTGCCTGAGTGTATGTCTGTGCACTGGGGGTGTGAAGGAACCCAAAAAGATCAGGAGAAGCTTCAGGTGCCCTGGGACTGGAGTTATAGAGGGTTGTGAGCCACCATGTGGGTGCTGAGAATTAAGCCCAGGTACTCTTTAACTGCTGAGCTGTGCCTCCAGCCTTGGGAAGGCAATTTTTCTAATGTAAGGTCTACAGGTTGGCAAAGCCTGCCAGGCTTCTAGCTGATGGCAAGACATATCAGTTCTGTAGCGTTCTCCCATGGGAAGGAGACAGCACACAAGCATCAGAACATAAGAAAAGAGGTAAGGTGGGGCTGCATGGAAAGGGTCATGGAGAACAATCATGGCAGCGCTCGGACCCTTAACCCTTGTCAGTGTCACTGTTTCCTTATTAAACAAGCACCGGAAGAGTCAGAACTCCTTTTGAGAAGGCGTGGAATCTCTATGCAGCGGTTTGAGAGCCGACAGCGCCCTCATGGAATGGAATCCTAATGAGCATGGCATTTATGTCTGTTTATGTAAGTATACCAGATCACCTCTTTCTCTTTTTTGAATTTGAAAAGTTGTTACTGTTATGTATGCACGTGTGTGAGGCTGCATGTGCCACAACCCATGTGGAGGTCAGAGGGCAACTCGGGACAGCTGCTTTTCTCCTTTCACCTTTACATGGGTTCTAGGCACTTCACTCAGGCCACTAACTAGGCTTGAACTGCGGGCATCTCTACCCTCGGAGCCATCTCCCTGATCCCTCCGATTCCAACATTTAAAAAATATTCTGTAAAATGACATTTATTTACTTACTGTGCGTGTACATGTGGCAAAATCAGAGGACTACTTGGCAAGAGTTGGTTCTCTCATTCTACTATGGTCATCAGGCTTTCATGACAAGTACCTTACTGGCCATGCCACCTCTCCTATCCAAGTACTTAATGAATTAAAATTAGGTAGCTTCTAAGAGAAGGCTTAGAAGTTAAAGAGCACTGGTTGTTCTTCCAGAGGACCTGGTTCCATTCCTAGAACCCACATAACACCTTACAACCATCTGTAACTAAGTCCAAGGAGATCTGATTCCTTCTTCTGGCCTCTTCAGGCACCAGGTATGTATATGATACAAAGACATACATGCAGGCAAGAAAACCATATACAAAAAATTAACATATGATATAGAAATGTGGAAGTCTGTTTTTGTTTGTTTTGTATGGCCCAGGCCGTGAACTTCTGATTCTCTTACCTCTACTTTCCAAGACGTATGAGCCACCACACTCAGTTTATGCGATAATGAAGATTAAGTCAGGACCTTCTACTCCAAAGTCTCAATCAGTTCATAAGGCTGCTCCAACTTGATCAATGGTGGCCAACTCCACGAGTACATTACTGAAGCCTATGAGCCTAGGACAGCTGAGCAACCTGCCTTTCTCCTCAGCACTGACTGAGACTGCTCAGTCCATCACATTAAATTATCTTCACTGTCAGCCTCAATGTCACTTCTTGCCTTCTGTCTGGTGTCTTTGGGACTGTGGCAGATCGTATCCCATACTACCACCTTACAGATTTTTCAGGAGTTTAGAAAGGATCTTCACCTATAGCAAAAACAAATGTTAACGAATTAATACAATTTTAGGGTAGGGGGTGTAACTCAGTGGGAGAGCACTTGCCTAGCTAGCATGCAGGAGGTTCTGGGTTCAATCCCAAACACCACATAGAACTTTAAAAAGCACAAATTAGGGAGCCGGGTGTGGTGGCGCATGCCTTTAATCCCAGCACTTGGGGAGGCAGAGGCAGGCGGGTTGCTGTGAGTTCAAGGACAGCCTGGACTACAAAGCGAGCCCAGGACAGCAAAGGCTACACAGAGAAACCATCTTTAAAAAATAAAATAAAATAAAATAAAAATTGGGGCTGGAAATATAGATCAGTGGTAAAGATGTTGACTAGTACTTGTAAAATTCTAGGTTTAATGCCCAGCACTAGAAAATTTAAGAAATATAATTTAGTTTCTATTTATAGTGGTTAGAATGAAAATGGCCCCCGAAGGCTCATATGTTTGAATGTTTGATCCCATTACTGGAACTATTTAGGAAAGAGTAAGAGGTGTGGCCTTGTTGGAGGAGGTGCTGTCTCTGAAGATTTGAGAAGCTCACACAGGCCAGTCTGTCTGTCTGTCTGTCTCTCTGCTTGCAACTTGCACATGAGATGTGAGCTCTCAGCTCCTTCTCCAGCCTGCTGCCACCATGTTCCCTGCCATGACCAGACTAACACCCTAAAACTGAGCTGCCTTGGTCACAGTATCTTCCCCTGCAATAGAACAGTGACTAAGACACTGCATTAGTTTGTTTTGTTGCTGGAGAAAAGGGTTCATTTGGCTCACACCTCTACATCACAGTCCAACACTGTGGGAAGTCAGGGCAGAAGCTAAGCAGCAACCTGGAGGCAGGAACTGAAGCAGACCACGGCAGAGTGCAGCTTACTAGCTTCCTCTTCACAGCTTACTAGGCTTACCACCTGCCCTGGGGTGGCATTGACCACAGTGGGCTACATCCTCCCTGCATCAATCATCAATCAAGAAAATGACCCAAAAAGTTGCTGATGGAGGCATTTTATTTTTATTGTTTTGAGACAAAGGTCTCTTTATGTAGCTCTAGCTGTCCTAAAACACAGTGTAAAACCAGGCTGGCCTAGAACTCACAGAGATCTGCCTACCTTTGCCTCCACAATGCTGGGATTAAAGGTGTGCACTTCCACAGCTGGCTAGATTTGAATCTGGTGCCTATGAAAGCCAGAGTAGTATGCCAGATACCCTGAGACTGGAGTTATAGATGGTTACAAACTGCCTGCCATCTAGTGGGTCCTCTAGAAGAACAGCTGAGCCATCTCTAAAGTCCCCATTATTTTTTTCAACTGAGATTCTCCTCTCTTCCCAGATGAATCTAGCTTGTGTGAAGTTGACCAAAAACTAACCATCACAGTAGGACACTAGGTGGTATGACACAGTTAACAACCACAACATATCTAAGACACATCTTTTCTCCAGCTGATTCTCTGGGTAGAGTACTAGCCTATCTTCAGGCCCAGCCCAGCTACTACCATCACCATGTTCCTGCCATACAGCACATATGCATATACCTAACGTTTCTGCAACACTATGCAGAAACCAGGTATGCTGGGTGGTGGCCCAGGTCCTTGATAAGACGCAGGCAGATGTTTGAGTTCCAGGACAGCAAGGGCTATGTAGAGAGACCATGTCTCAAAAATCATTAAAAAAAAAAAAAAAGGAAGGAAGGGAAGGGGAACAGTAATAAACTCTGCAGTCTAGCACCTAGATTTACCTTTGTCTAAACTATCGGGACTAGTTAGCAGCCTCCTCTTGTAGTCGGGCTCAAGACTACTGTGCAGCAAGGTAAACTTGGCGCCTGATCCTCCTGCCGCCACTTCTCAAGTGCTACACACACATGCCGCTACACCAGTCCAAATAACATTTTAAGTAATTTGTCTTCTTTCCCCTTTAGTCTTACTTCAGTTTACATTTTTAATTAATTGTACATGTTTTAAAGATTTTAATTAATAAATGTGATCTTCTTAATCCATTAATGTTGCTGTTGTTTAAAGCAGTAAAAGTTTAAAGTACCCTAGGCTAGCCTTGAACTTACTAGGTAGCCATGGCTAGCCCGGAATTCCTGATCCTCCAGTCTCCACGTCCCTACTGCTAGGGTTATAGATAGGCATGTACCACCATGCTGACTTCCATTCATTTTTTAAGCCAGTTATTCTGCATGTAGGAAAACGCATAAACACATAAACACTTCAGGGACTTTGTATGTGATCATTTTGTTTATTTTTGTATTTGTGTGTGTGTGTGTGTGTGGTGGTAGGAGTTGTGCTTCATGCACACTAGACATTCTACTACTGACTTACATCTTTAGGGCCTGAACTCACTGATTTTAATAGATTTGGGTTGGTTTTCTTGGGGTTTTATAATATTAGTAGTAGTAAGCTTTCTGGAGTGCTAATTCTTATTTTTGTCTCTCATTTTACTGCATTAGCTAGAACTTTCAGAATTCTATAAAGGTCCTGGAGTTCACTCTGTAGACCAGGCTGGTCTCAAACTCAAAAGAGGAGCCTGCTTCTGCCTCTTGAGTGCTGGGATTAAAGGAGTATGCCTAGTGTTAAATTTTCTGTTTAATAAAAATGCATCTTTAAGCACAATGCTTATTTTATCGACTGATGTATTTTATTAACATCCTAATTCTTATACTTTCTTAAAAATTCTTAATTATGTATATACATACTTTTACATATATGAAATATATATACGTATGTAGGCACATATTTATCTGACAGAGTGGGATATATCAATTTATTTCCTTACTTAAACTATCCTTTTAGTTCCCAAGACAGGCTCTATGTGGCTTGAAGTGATGTCTTTTTCTGTAGCCCAGGCTGACCTTAAATCTAAGATCCTCCTGCCTCAGTCTCCTTAAGGTTGCAATTACATACTCTACCATTACACACAATGGAATAGTTCTTTAAATGGACTACTGACTTTGATGTGCATAAATAAAATTTTAGATTGAATACTACTGCATATTCATACACCTATAAATCCTTTTCAAGGAACTGAGGGACAAAGATAAAAATGAAGTAGCCAGGTGGCAAAACTATCAGGTATTATATTGCAGTAGTAGATGGATGGCCTTCCTGCTCAACCTAAGTCTGGGTTCCCCCTTTGCTGGCTCTGTCAAGGTCTTTAGTTGGTAGAGCCTCTCTCTTTAGTTTTTCAAAAGGGTTTCTCTGTTTAGCCCTGGTTGTCCTCAAACTCGCTCTGTAGACCATGCTGGCCTCCAACTCAGAGATCCACCTGCCTCTGTCTTAGCTGGTGTAGTCTAACTAGTTTCAACACCCTGATCTTTCAAGGTCAAGAACCTTAATGCCTTAATGCTTTGTCCAGGAAAAAAAAATAGTCTTAACATACAAAAAAGACAGAGCGTAGCCTAGGAAGACAGCTTTCCCACCCCTGCCAAGGAAATTGCCTTGCAACCCAAATTTACTGTAAATTCTGTTCAGTTAAATACTTACAAATTGTAGTCTCCTTTTCTAAATGTGGTATCAAAGTACAAATTAGGGGCCTCAGATTACAGCTGAAGTAGTTGGCTGCCCAAGAAATAGCTTGAAGCCAGATAACAAAGGAAGCCTGAGACTTGAGTTCAATCCCCATCAAAGCAGAGAACTGACTTCCACAAGTCGTCCTCTGCTCTCCACACATGTACTATGGCGTGTATGCAACCTCCAAAAATATTTTAAAAAGGAAAACTAACTGGAAAAAAAAACACAAAATACCAAAATATAAGAAAATGAGTGTTATGCCATGAAACTTGTTTCAAATTTGTGCAAAAATAGTTAACATATATACTTAACCTAACAAAATATATTTCTTGCTATGGTTCTGGATTTAAAAATAAACAGAACACTTGCCAAGTAGGGGATAATGGCAAACTCCCATAATTCCAGCACTTAAAAGGCAGAGGTAGAAGAATCAGTAAGTAGTTCAAGGCTAGATTTGGCAACACAGTGAGACTGAGTTTAGCCTAGACTACAGAAGACTCTGTCTTAAAAACAAAACAAACAAACAAAAAACCAAATAAACAAAACCAAAATATAATTACTGGGCAGTGAACATCTTAGGCCAACCAGGGCTACACACTGAGACCTTGTCACAAACATATGCACACACACGCATACACACACAGAGAGAAAGAAAATGAGTGTATATGATCAAAACATTGTGTAAAATTCTCAAAGAATTAATAAAACATTGAAAACGAAGAGCCAGATGTGCTGGTGGGTATGTGCATTTAATCCCGGTACTTGGGAGTCAGAGGGGGTTGGAGCAGGGGTGGCTAGAGATATGTCTCAGTGTTTGAGGACATTGATTTTTTTTAATTAAATTTTTATTTTTATGTATTACAGTTTATTCATTTTGTATCCCAGCTGTAGCCCCCTCCCTCATTCCCTCCTTATCCCTCCCTCCCTCCCTCATCTCCTCTTATGCCCCTTCCCAAGTCCACGGATAGGGGAGGTCCTCCTCCCCTTCCATCTGACCCTAGCTTATCAGGTCTGATCAGGACTGGTTGCTTTGTCTTCCTCTGTGGCCTGGCAAGGCTGCTCCCCCCTCAGGGGGAGGTCCAATTTTTTTTTTTTTCCAGAGAATCCTGATTTGATTCCCAGCAGCCAAATCAGGTGGCTCACAACCATCTGTAACTTCAGTTTCAGGGTATCGAATGCCCTCTTCTATATGTGGTCCATGTTCATACATGTAAGCTAAACAGTTATACACATAAGAATAAATAAAATATATAAACCTTTAAAGAGAAGGGGCTAGAGCACTGGCTTTGACTACCAGCATACACACACGGTGGTCCACAATCATCCTTAACTCCAGTTCCACGGGTCCCAACACCTTCTTGTGACTTCCATAAGCACTAGGCACACACATGTATAAAATAAATCAATCTAACAATAACAACAAAACAAGAACCAAGAACATCACTTACCAAGTCATAACTAGTTTGTTGCACTGATTTCAAACAAGGTCTTTCTATAGCCCAGGCTAGCCTCAAATTCATGGCTATCTTCCTTCATCAGCTTCCTTATTGCGAGGATTACACAGGAAAGCTGCCACACTAAACATTCTTTTTAATCAAGTACTTTAAAAATGAAACTCCAGGCTGGGCGGTGGTGGCACATGCCTCTAATCCCAGCACTTGGGAGGCAGAGATAGGCAGATTTCTGTGAGTTTGAGGCCAGCCTGGTCTACAGAGCTAATTCCAGGATGGCCAAGGCTACACAGAGAAGCCCTGTCTCAAAAACCAAAAAAAAAAAAGAAAAAAGAAAAAGAAGCGAACGAAACAAACATCAAACTGAGCAGTAGTGTGCATGCCTCTAATCCTAGCACTTGGGAGGCAGAGGCAGGCACATCTCTGAGTCTCAGGCCAACCTGTCTACTGCCAAGGCTATACAGAGAAACCCTGTCTCAACAAAACAAAACAAAACAAAACAAAACAAAACAAAACAAAACAAAACAACCAACCAATTCCACCAAAATGTACTATATACAAGGATGAACACTGTTTTGTGAAACTTGTTTCAGTTATGGCTGTGTGTGTGTGTGTGCATTTGTTGCTCTAAGGTTTTGTTTTTCGAGACAGTGTTTCTCTGTGTAGCCTTAGCTATCCTAGACTCACTTTGTAGACTGGTCTGACCTCGAACTTACAGAGATCCACCTGCCTCTGCCTCTGCCTCCCAGAATGCTGGGATCACAAGCGTGCGCCACAGCTCTGGGCTGTAATGTTTTTGTGAATGTACATATACTCACTTGGGCTATGTTGCTCAACTGGTAGAGTGCATGCCTCCCATGCATCAAGCCCTGGGTTTGATTACCAGCACTGAGCATGGCAGCACATGCCTCTAATCCTAGCACTGAAGAGGATCAAGGTCAATGGATACATAAGACCCTGTTTCAAAACAACACACATGCACGAGCTTGCACACTCTGCAGGTCTCCTGACCTGAGTTCGATGACTGGAATGGAAAGAGGGAGGGCGTACAAAACTGACCTCTCCATGTACACTGTGCTATGTTCACGTCCAAACTCACACATATACATCACACACACACACACACACACACACACACACACACACACACACACTATAGTAATCAAATGTAAAAACCACATATACTTATCCACTTATTCAAGGCTGGTATGTGAAAGGGGTTTCTCCCTTTGGGCTGTAGTAAATGGAACAATGGGTTGAGGAGTTATTGGTAAAGTGTGTTCAGATCTCTGGTACCCACATAAAAAGTGATGCGTGTCTGCGTGCATGTGCAACCACCCTTGTGCTGAGGCAAATATAGGAGGTCTTGGGACTTGCTGGCCAGCCAATCTAACCAACTGGCAAACTCCAGGTTCAGTGAGGGATGCTGTCTTGAAAAATAACAGAGCGAGTGACTGAAGACAGCGCCTAGTGCCATCCTCTGGCCTCCACACACCTACCTATGTGTGCATTCATCCACATGTGCACACACAGACACAGACAAAGCTGGGTATAGAACTCAGTTGTAAAGCGAGTGGCCTATGACTTACATGGTTGTGTTCGAGCCCCAGAACAACACACACACACACACACACACACACACACACACACACACACACACGAACTCCTCAAATTCTCAAGTTGGAAATGCAGCTCTATTTGCAGTGTCCTTGACTAGCATATACAAAGCCCTAGACTCAATTCCTTTCCCCACATAAACCTGCAGTGGTCATGCACACCTGTAATCCCAGGACTCAAGAGATGAAGGCAGGAATATCAGTACTTCAAAGTCAACCCTGGCTGTAATTGTTTAAAACCAGCCTAGACTATATGACAAGCTGTCTCAAAAAAATATTTTTTTTGAGAGCTACTAGTCATGGGCAAGTGATACAAAGCTTATAAAGGAAAAAAATGACATTAATAAGGTTGGCCATTAACCTCCTAAATGACGAAGGCAATTCTGATTCACTTAGAAGCAATTCACCTTTCAAAGGGCCTCTCTTCTGGTTGAAGGGTTTTCACAATCTTTCAGTTCTACAGATGGGTTTAAATACAGCGAAGATGAGAGCTACAGTACAAACTACTCAGATTAAAGCATCGACTTTCAGGTTTTCCTCTGACATTTTCTCCCTTTTGATTCTTTGGAGGAGGGATGTTATTCAAAAGAGAGGAAAGATAGTCCATTCAAGGAAAATGGACTATCCCCTACATGTTACCGAGTAAACTGAAAAAAACCTCAAAGCTTCTTTCTAAGAAATTGGCTTGGTTTATGTTTTGCTTTTTTTGAGACAGGGTCTTACTCTGTAGCTCAGGCTGGACTGGAACATAAGGAAATCCTCCTTTCACCTGTCGATTGCTGCTATTACAGGTGTGAGCTACTATGGCTATTACTGACTTTAAAAGATTTATAGAAAGCCAGGTGGTGGCAGCACATGCCTTTAATCCCAGCACTTGAAAGGCTGAGTTCAAGTCCAGCCTGGTCACAGAGTGAGTTCCAGGACAGCCAAGGCTACACAGAGAAACCCTGCTTCGAACAACAACAAAAAAAGAAACAAATTCATAGGGAGTGAGGGGTGCCATATAACATGCCAAAGCATGTGTGGAGGTCGAAGGACCACTTGGGAAGCTGAAGCAGGACATTCTAGAGTTCACAGCCAGAATGGGCTTCAGTAAGGCTGTCTCAAAAAATTAGGAACTGGGGGAAAAAGGCTCAGTGTTGAGCAACTGCCTCAAATCCATAGGCCCCACAGAAACAAAACCCTTCCATCTAGGAACACACAGGCAATTTGAAAAGTAATGGTGGTTATGCAGAAATTAAAACACACCTAAACTGGACAGTTAGGTTGGGGATTTTTCGTTCCTGTGTTTAATGCTGAGGTAAGTAATTAAACATTGGACTGGATTCCTCAGGTCTCCGATGTGTAAGGAAGGATGGAGCATCTGCATCCACACTCTGGAGAGGGACAAATCTTTTTCTTTCATCCTCAGGAAAGAAGAGTCTCCTGGGTACTCTCTGCCCCAGACTGAGGGACTTCCCAGAACACAGGGCTTTCAGTACTGAAGTGGGGAAGGTCCTGGGCAAACAGGATTTGTTATCTTCTCTAAAAGGTAGCTGTCTGTGTGCCCCAGAGCTTGAAGTAACCAAGCTGACTTGTTGAGGTTCAAAATGTGGAGGCAGGGAAGTATAAAGAACTACTTTGGAAGAGAACAGGGTGACCATGACACTCTGAGCACTTGAATACCCATTTGGAGCCTGTAAAGAAGGTGTCATAGCTGACTTACACAATCTGACTTTGAGTTTCACAAGACTGTAATGGAAAGTAATTCTGGAAGATACATATATTTTAAAGAGTAGGTCCAAACAGGTTACTGGGGAAGTGAGGCTTACCTGTCAAATGCTGGAAAAGCTATTAACCTTAAAGAGTAGGTAGAATACCAACGCAGTGAGCAATTTTAGAAATTGGGTGTGTTAGCTTTTAAAGACACATAGTATCTCTCACTTCCAAATTGAGTTACCTGTCCATCCAAGAGAAAGTGACTCGCAACATTTTTCAGAGCTAGTTAAAACCAAAGACAGTTCTCCCAGCCTTTTCCATCTGTATGCCCAGCAGCAGCAGAGTGGCACAGCAGAGGCCTGATGGGCCCATAAATGCCCACTGGGACAAGAACACTAAACACAAGTGTAGGCTTAAAAGACACCTGCAACTTGATGCTGCATGTAGGCAAGTCGCAGGCTTGGTGTATCTGAAGCACTGTACGAGGCACATGTCAAGTTTTATTTTCTGTGGTGCTCAGGATTGAACCCAGCACCTCAGGCATGCCCGGCATATATGTTGTAACTGGCTCACATCGTATATGCCTGTTTTTGCTCTTAGGAAACAAACAAACAAATAAATAAAGGGGTGACTGGTTTTGCCCTCTTAAAAGACTATCAAGATTAATATTTTACTCAGTGCTTCAGTAATGTTGTCTGAAAATTCTGTGACCATGTCTCTCTTCGTCAGGGCCTTATTTCATGTAATTTTCAGTTTCTCCTGGAATTTCAACTTCAGTGTGACTACTGAACCCTAACATAACACAAACTCATTCAGATTTCTTTTGTGACCCTAAACGCCAAGATACTGTCTTGATTCTTTATCTATTGGCTGCCAGACTTAACAAATAGAGCTCCTTAAACAATGCCTTTTTTTTCCAGACATAACATCATCCTATTTGGCTGTGTGTGGTGGCACTGGCCTTTTAATTTCAGCACTTGGGAGAAAGAAGGCAGATCTCTGAATCCAAGGCTAGTCTGGTCTACATAGGGAATTCCAAGATAACCATGGCTACTTTGACAGACCCTGTCTCAAAAACCAAATTAACAACAGTATAGTTAATGAGTATTCAATAAACTAGAGACAGAAAGGAATGTCCTCAAATGATGATGTATGGAGAACCACAGCTGGCAAAATACTCAATGGCAAAAGGCTGAAGTATCCCCCGTAAAATCAGAAGACAAGGACATCTACTTACATCAATTCTATGCAAACTTTACTAAAATTCTTGCCAGAGCCAATTAGGTAAGAGAAATAAAAAGAGCCAAAATGGAAGAGAAACATAAGATTATGTACAGATCACAAGAGCTTATATACAGAAAACCCTAAAGAATCTACATCACAACAAAAACCTTTATGGGCTCGGAGATGAATTAAACAAAATGACAGGTTTTGATCTATCTCAACCTCCTGAGTGCTAGGATTAAGGGCTTGTACCAGCACACTGGACTATATTCTTGTAGGTCTAGTTTAATGCGGCTGATGATATAGCTCAGTGGTTTGAGTGCTTACTACTCTTGCAGAAAACCCAAGTTTGGTTCCCAGAATACACATAATAGTTATTAAAACAAAAACAAAATACCACCTCCAAATAACTGTAACTTAAGCCTAACAGATGAAGAAAAATAATGCAATAAGACTGTGGATCAAGGTTCTTTTGAAGATGCTTATTTATTCTGAGCAAATATGCAACTATAGCAGCGTGCTCCTACCATAGGTAGTATCCACACAACCCGCAGTAACATAAACAGCCGGAGGCCCTGACACGGGGAAGAGTACACCCGCAGCTACTCAACAGGTGGTTTTATAGCGCACTCACGCTCTGGCTTTTGCAATCACTTGGAAGACAGGCTGAGAATCCCTGTATCAAATACTTGAGAACAGAGCTGTTTGTATTTCAAGTCTCAGGTGTCTGCATGGACGACCACCTGAATATCCCTCACCTGAGATCTGTCAGTACTCAAAGTTTCAGACTTTAGAACATTTGACTTTGATTTTCTGGTTAGGATCTTCAACCTACAGGTGCTTTTATAAGCATAAATACCCTTCAGAGGGCAGAGGTGAACACTTTCTCATGTAGGTATGCTAGCTTCTCTAAGCGAGTTTGTTTCAGTAGTGGAAGCCATTCCCAGTGGGGTAACTCTACCACACGGTACCCAACTTGAACCAGCTGCCTCCTCTTCATATTGTGCAGTCCAAGGAGATGATCCCTGGAACCATAGCAATACTGGTTCTTGTTTGTGAACTGAATAGCTAGCTTCACTAGTGGGGGCTGCACGTGGGCTAGAGGGCACAGGCCAACTGTCCCCACCTCCCCCGATCTATCTGTCACATTACAACTGGAGTCCACCGAAGGTATAGCTGTCTTCCTTCTTAACTCCATGGGTGGCTGGCCAGTCTCTAACTCTATTTCCCCCTGGAAATACCTCTTGGCTTTTCCCATTAGTAACCGATTCATCAAATCATGTGTAAGACTGACTCCCCCCTGCTTAAACTGTAATCTGGCTACATCTTCAGTTGGTATCACTTCCCTATTAAATGGTAATGGCTTCATGTTAGCATCAAGCTGAACCTCTAAGTCAGAAGATCGGGTGTGAGGCAAAATCATATGGTGCTTGATGTACTGGGGGCCACCCAACATGGTCTCAAGTAAACAGAGTGTTTCTAGGAATTCAGGCTTTGACCTCATATCTTTGCTTGCTAAATTCCATAGCCTTGCGGATGCCTCTTGTTGAAGGAGAGAATTAAGACGACTGCCCTTGTAATCTGGACATTCAACGGCAACTGCACCATCAAGAGTATACAGTTCCTTAGAGAGGTCAAACTTACTTCTTTCTTGAGCTAACTTGACAAACCCTGGACTCAGAGCAACATTGATGAACTCAGCTGGAAAGTATTCAGAAAATGCCAAGCCAAGCAGGCAGGTGAGAAGGTGCTCTGGGTACTGGTAGAATTCAGGCATCTTTCTGTGGATTTCATTTATCAGACTGGAATAAAATTCTTCTGTGTTGGGTGGCTTATAATTCAGAGTTCCAAAGGACCACAGAATTTTGGCAACATCTTTACTTCGACAGTGTGCCACCCTTGGAGGCAAAGAGGCAGCTACTGCATTCATGACTCTTTCATCCAGGATTCGTAAGGCTGAGCAAGCAAGAGTGAGGTGCATAACACCCTGAACCCCCAAGGAAGGAATCCGCTGGGGAGCAATTTCTCCAAACCGCCTCATGAAATTTACATGATCTACATGAGTGAAGCGGAACATTTTAAGAATATGAACTAAGGTGTGGCTGCTCATGTGCTCCATGTTAGCGCAAGCCAGATCTCCAATTTTCCGCATGACAAACTCAGAGAGACTACTACTTGATTTAAAAAACCCCAAACAGATTGTACCAACCTCCTCTAAATTGATCAAATCGATATATTTAAGGATCACTGATTCTAGTTTTTGCATTAGGTCCTGTGGCACCTGACGATTTTCACCAATAATATAAATTAAATGAATTAGCTGAGACAAGGAGAGCTCTCTCCAGTGTAAATTAAGGTAACTAAAAAATATTTTTAAGAAACGGGGCACTCTTCGGCCTAGGTTCCGCCAAAGATCAGCTACTAGGAGAAGCTGATCCAGACTCATCTCCCACACCTGATGGCAAAATCTGGTTTCATATACATCTAGCATGACGGGGGAGAGAGGGATTCTTAAATCAACAAAGGCTTTCAAAATACTCATCAGATCTGGGGTATCAAAGAGCTCTATGTTTTTCATACTCAGTTGGCAGAGCAAAGCAAAGCTGTTACTGGATAGCAAAAGAGAATGCTGTTCTGCTGGCAAAGAGCTCAGCTTACAAAAATAATTAGTAATGACTTTTGGCTGGAGTTTATTTTGATAAAATGTGACTTTGTGCAAAATTAGTTCACCTTCTGACGCAGACAGGGGTTGACAAGTCTCACTTCTGTTATAGCTGTGAATCTGGTACTCTGGCCTTAGCTTTAAGAAAACTCGGGTTCCTTCGAAGGAATCAAAAACCTCTACATCCTCTTCATCAACTCTTCTGGCACTGGGTAAGCCTGGATGCGATGAGCTGGCCTTAAGGGTAGACACCTTGTTGAATTCCAAACCCAGGTGGGCACTGCTGGTTGTGAAGATTCTCTGAGACAAGGTGGCGTCACCAGTGTTCTTAACTTTTCTGGCAGGATAGTAGGAGCTATTATATTCAGGAGCTATTATCTTCTGTCCCCCATGCTGTGTGCTGTTTTTCATGTTCCAATATGCCATGCTTTGGGCTGCACGGTAGGCAGAAGGATTACAAGATGCTTGGTATTTTAAAAGTTTTAACAACTTGAGAGTGGCTGCCATTTTGGAGACTGTGCTGATCTTTTTGGCAGATAGAGCACAGTCCTCACACGTCTGACTAGACAAGTTCTTGTTTATACGGTGCTTGACAAGAGGCGGGCAGGTAGATGCTCCACAGAAACTGCCTGTGAATCTTCAGCATACCACAAGAACTGTGGGCCACAAATGATGGGGTCAGAATTGGTGCCAGATACTGAAAAAAGGGTAGATGAAGAATGAGTGGCTTCTACCTATAACACAAAATGTACACAATATAAGAAATAGGTGCAGACAGGAGTGGTGGTGGCAAACACCCCTTTAATACCAATACTTTTAAGGTAGAGGCAACAGGCTCTATGCCAGTTTTAGGCCAGCCAGAACTATCTTGTGAAGCCCTGTCTCAAAACACAAAAGGAAAAAGAGAGAAAAAGAAATAGATGCAAAGAGTGTACCATGCAAGTATGTCAGTGAATGCCCGAAGCACAAGCCATCAAGTGTGAAGGACAAACTCTGTGTGCACCGTCAACAAGCAACACACCATTAGGTGATTTCTAGACTGCTGCTTGATATGAATTCACTTACTTGTAGAGAAGGACAGATTTTTAAAAAAGCTGAGGGTAAAAAGTAGGCAACTCGGGGCTATAGAGATGGCTTAGTGGTTAAGAGCACTGTCTGCTCTTCCAAAGGACCTGGGTTCAATTCTCAGCACCCACATGGCAGCTCACTACTGTCTGTAATGCCAATTTCAAGGGATCTGATACCTTCACACTAAATACACATAAAATAAAAAAGTAGGCAACTCATTCCATTTACTATTGACACGTAAGAGTGCCTCTGAAAATTACACTGATAAAAGGCTTTCATGCTAACAGTATAAAGAAAAAAGTAGGATTAGCTTTACTTTTTAAAAATTGTTATTTGATGGAGATGGATGTTTTGTCTGCACGTATGTATGTGAATCACTTGTGTGAATGGCGCCTGAGGTAAGAGGGGGTTGGATCCTCTGGCCATGGGTGGTGGGAACTATGCTCAGGTTCTCTGAAAGTGCAGGAAATATATTTTCTTTAAGTCTGTCTGTCTATCAATCATGAGTATTTTGCACACTAAAAAAGGGCATCAGATCCCATGGGACTATAGTTATAAACCATTGTGAGCCACTGTGTGAGCGCTGAGAATTGAACTCAGGACCTCTAGAGGAGCAGCCAGTGCTCTTAGCTGCTGAGCTGTCTTTGCAGCCCGCCAACAGGCATTTTGTGATTCTACTAGGTCCAGGTTTGTTTTGTTTTAAAACAGGGTCTTACTGTGTAACCTTGGCTGGCCTAGAACTGAGTTTGTAGACCAGGCTGGCCTCACAGACATCTTGGTCTCCCAAGTGCTAAGATTAAAGACACACATCACCACCTCCGGCTTTGGTTTGGTTTTTAAATGAAAATATGGGAGGGTAAGGAGAGAATTATGTAAGAGTAGAAATTGAATGATAGAACTAACTCTAACTCTGAGATGAATCTTTACAGTAGGAAGAATCAGAAACTAGGAATGGCCAACAAAATCTAAATAAGGACTTTCATTTTAGAGGACATGAAAAAAACACAGGAGAAAACCTGAAATCCAGGTGCTGCTTTGGGAAATTTACTTTAATGTTGGCATGAAGGAGGAGGACTGTAATCTTAGCCATTCAAAAGGTTGAACCATCTCTCCAGACTGTTAATTTGCTTTAAAGTGGGTGTAAGCTTTAATTAATTATATCCACAGTAACCCTCCCAGTTCTTAAAGTACAAGCTTAATTATAGAATCCTGTCATTTTTAGTGCTATTTCTCTTAGAAAAGGCCTTTAGGCTGCTTTGTGTTCTGAGTGGTCTTATTATGTAGCTTAGGCTGATCTCAAATTCATGATACTCTGGCCTCAGTCTACTTAAGAAATGGTGGGATCCCAGGTGGCTGCCACCACCTGTAACGGTGGTGCTTTCTAACACGCATGCTTCCAAAAAGCTTCTTCTAACAGAGCTGGAATTCAGTAATCAGGAGCTGCGAAGCATACTCAGAAACCCTTAGAAGGTAGTGGTGGGAGGGGGACTTCAAAAGCCTGTTTACTGTTGATGCATCGGTAGAAAAAAAAAAAAGCTACTCAAAGCTATGCTTCCAAGTACAAGGAATACCAGTTCATATGACTGTTCTGCTAACAAGCTCAGGGAACAACACAGGTCTCCCCTGGAGGAGGCAGACTGGCAATGATGCCACTGAGTCAGGTACTAATTAATTACATCCTCACTTGGCTGAAAGCAGTGCTATTTGCATTTTCCTCCCAAGAAAATTAAAAAAAAAAAAAAAAAAAAAAAAAAAAAGAGCAGGCCATGAAACTGGCTCTCCCATATTCCTCCTCCTCAGACGAGATGCCATAGACTCCTCCTCCTTTTTAAAAAAAGATCTATTTTTTTTCTGCTAAGTATGGTGGCACATGATTTTAATCCCAGCACTAAGGAGGTAGACAAACATATCTCTGAGTTTATGGACAACCTGGTCTACAAAGTGAGGCCTTCTTTCAAAAACGACAAAACAAAATAGCAAAAATTAGCCAGGTGTGGCAGTGCACGTCTGTAATCCCAGAGGCAGGTGGATCTGTGTGAGTTCGAGGCCAGCCTGGTCTACAAAGCAAGTGCAGGATAGCCAAGGCTACACAGAGAAACCCTGTCTCGAAAAACCAAAACCAACCAAACAAAAAAAAACAGCAAAAATGTTAATTTTTCATTTTATGTATATGGGTGTTTGGCCTACTTGTGCGTCTTGGCACCACATGTACGTGTGGTGCCATGGGGGCAAGGTGGTAGAGCCTCTGGAACTGGAGCCTCATTTGTTAGCCACCACATGGGCGCTGGGCACTGAACTGTGGTCCTCTGTAAGTGCTCATAACCACTGAGCCATCTTTCCAGCCCATATTCCTTCTTTCTTCAATGCTCACTCTTTTTTTTTTTCCTCTCCCCCCCATACTTACTAGCAAATCCCAAGGAGATGTGAGTGGCCAACAGAGCACACAAGGTTATTGCTACAAATATTCCAAGAGTGACTTTCTGAAATGTCTTTTTAATTCTGCTTTTGGCCTCTTCTCTCCAGAGTCCTAAAGAGCCAGGACTGCAAGGCAGGCCAAAAGGCTTTGTTCTGCCTACCAGGCTTCTTTCTCTGGGTGACAGGAAAGTATGTTCTAATTTCACAGTAAATCTTTATACACTGGGATACTGGGTTCCATTCCTTGAGACAAAATTTCACTATGTAGTCCTGGAACTCACTGGACAGACTAGGCTGAACTTGGCATGGACTCATAGAGACCTGTCTGCCTCCATCTCCCCAGTGCTGGGCTGAAAGGTGTGTACCACCATGCCTGGTGCTACACTTGGTGTTTTACCTGCCCAGCTTCAACCGTTCAGGTGGTCACGAGCTATATTCTGGGGCCCAAACTGAGCCCTGCACCTGGTTTTTGTAAGTAAAGTTTTATGTAGACACATCTAACGTCTAGGTTGGCATTCCTAATACAGGAACCGAGTAACTATTTCAGAAATTGTATGCCTGTATAACATAAAGTATTTCTTAACTAGCTCTTTATAGAAAAAGTTCACAGTCCTACAGACCACTAGTTGGTTGTGATTAAAACTGTTAATGTGAAAGAGTGTATCAATTAACAATAAATCCTCTGCTTACTTTTAAATTACCTATGCAGTCATTTTGTCTGTTATTTTTTTTTAACTCAGGTTTCATAAAACCCACACTGGCCTTGAGCTCATGATCTTCCTGCCTCCACCCACTATTACAGGCATGTGCTGCCACATCTAGTATTTAGACAGTAATTTTAGGTAGTTTTTTGTTGTTGTTGTTTGTTTGTTTGTTTTTGGTGTTTCGAGACAGGGTTTCTCTATGTAGCTTTGGCTGTCCTGGACTCACTGTATAGACTAGGCTGGCCTCAAACTAACAGAGATCTACCTGCCTCTGCCTCCCTGAATGCTGGGATTACAGGCATGTGCCACAGCACCTGGATCTTTAGGTAGTTTTTTTCATTTTGTTTTTTGAGAATGGGTGATATAGTCTAGGCCAGTATCAAATTCAGTGGGTAGTTAAAGATGGCCTTGACCTTCCAAGCCTCCTGCCTCACACTCCTAGTGCTTACATTACATGTGTGCTAGCTACCATGCCAGTCTCATGAGGTGTTGGGGATTGAATCCAGAGTCTCTTGCATACTAAACAAGTACTTGACCACGTAGGCTGTACCTCTAGGCCTATAAACAATAATTTTTAAAAATTACCTCTTTATGAGATAGAGATGTCTCACTCGTTAAGTACATTTGCTGCTTTTTTAGGGGACCCAGGTTCATTTGTTAAGATATAGGTGGGGGCTCACAATCAACTGTAACTCCAGTTCCAGGGGACCTGACACCCTCTTTTGGCTTCTGTTTGCACTAGGCATGTATGCAGTATATACACAAAGAAGAAATAATCTAAAAATTTTTAAAAATTACCTTTATAAGCTAGGCATGGTGATGCATACCTTGAATCTCAGCATTTGGGTGGAAGACAGGTGGATCTCTGTGAGTTCAAGGCCAGTTCTAGAACAGCCAGAGCTGTAGAGAGACCTTGCCTCAAAAAACAAATAAGCAAAAAAAATTTACATCTATAGCTGGACATGGCGACACACACTTATAATCTCAGCACTCAGGAGGCAGAAGGAGCTATGTGAGTTGAGGCAAACATGATCTACATAGTTCAGGTTTAATCATGAGCTCATGCTGAGACTTTACCTTAAAAAAAGGAGGCTGGGCTGGAGAGATGCTCATCAGTTAAGAGTACTGGCTGCTCTTCCAGAAGATCCGAGGTTCAACTTTCAGCACCCACATGGTAGTTTACAATCATCTGTAATTCCATTCCCAGGAGAGCCGACACCCTCTTCTGGCCTCTACAGGCATTCGGTGCAGACATACATGCAAACAAAACACCCACACACATCAAATAAGCCAAAGGCTGAGGCTACATGAGACCCAGTCTCAAAACAAAACAGACAAATAATCAGATTAAGGTTTTAGGTTTCTGCGAGGCACCGTTCTGTCTCTGCCACCATCGGAGAGCCGTGTGGCATAGAATTGCTGTCTAAGGACAAGAGAGTGTTCAATTTCATCAAGAAAAGAGTGGGCATGTACATCCACACCAAGAGGAAGCAGGAGGAGCTGAGCAACGTGCTGGCAGCTACAAGGAAGGCAGCAGCCAGGAAGAACTGATACCCCTCCCCCAATATACACTGTGCTTCACAAACAACAATAACAACAACAATGCATTAAGTGTTACAATGGGAATAACAAGAGTCCCAACTGTCTTAGGGCCTCTTCTCTACCAATGCTTTTATTTTTTTCCTAATCAAAATTTGTATCAGTGAAGAATAGGTTTTTAATTGTTTGTTTTGAGACAAGAGTTTCTCTGTGTAGCCTTGGCTGTCCTGGACTCACTTTGTAGACCAGGCTGGCCTCAAACTCACAGAGATCCGCCTGCCTCTGCCTCCCAAGTGCTGGGATTACAGGTGTGCACCACCACGCCCAGCTAGGTTTTAAAATTTTTGTAAAGAATTATTTTTGTAATTATTTACTTAACGTTATGTATGTGTGTATTTATTCTGTATGACTGTGGAGACACACCTGTCCTGGCACATGTGAAGGTCAGAAGACAACCTGCAGGGGTCAGTTTTCTTCTTCCACTATGTGGGTCCTAAGGATTGAATGCAGGTTACCAGGATTGGTGACAATTGCCTTTATGCCATCTCAATGACCCAAAATAATGGGTTTTCTTTACAACATGTTCATATATGTATGTCATTACATACTGTTCATTTTTACACCCCTTCATTAGAAGCCCCCTTCGGCTTTTCCTGCTGTGTGTGATGCACACACGTGGAGACAAGATGTCCATCTGGTGTCTTCCTCTATGGCGCACCGCTTTATTTTGACACAGGATCTGTCACTTGAAGGTTACAACCAGCTAGACTGGCCAAGGAACCCTGGGGATCCTCCTGCCTCCGCCTCCCAGGAAGACTAGGATTATAGGCACATGACACATCATATTCAATTTTGTTTTTATTTAGTTTTTTTAAAATGAAGGTCCTGGGGATCCAAACCTGGACCCTCAGGCTCACCGGTCAATCACTTTACCCACTAAGCCATCTCCCAAGTACCACCCGTACTATAGTATAGTCTAAATTCTGCAGGAGACAACATTTCCCTCCTCTCCTCTGGTAAGTCCCTTCAAGGCTAAGAGTCCTAAATAAACTATTATGTGGGCTGGAGAAATGGCTCAGAGGTTAAGAGCACTGGCTGATCTTCCAAAAGTCCTGAGTTCAATTCCCAGCAACCACATGGCGGCTCACAACCATTTATGGGGAAATCTGGTGCTGTCTTCTGGTGAGAAGGAATACATGCAAGGCAGAACACTCTATACATAATAAATAAATAAATCTTAAAAAAAAAAAACTATTATGCACCAATAGTTCACCACCACCCCCTTTTAGTTTTTTGAGACAGGGTCTCACTACATAGCCCTAAGAGGCCTAAAACTCAGAGAGATCCTCCTGCCTCCACTTCCCTAGTGCTGGGATTAAAGTCACGAACCACCTCAGCCCACCTTGATTTTCATTCTAACAACCCTTCTGTGAGGCAGGTTTATTATTTCTGTATCATTTGTGAGGAAGAGACTTTACAAGATTAGGATATTTCTCACATGAAAAAAGAAATCTTTCAACAGGTGAATGGAGCTTGCTTTCAAAGACTCCGAAGGCCACACTGCTGGCATAGAGAGAGACAGCAACACAATACAGGAAGCACAGGTCCAGACGGAGAAAAGGGCTGAAGAAGTTACTTCTTCCTGAGTTTTCAGATGCCAGGAGCTAGAGTATTGATAGTGGGTCAGCTCACAAGACTCTCCTGCCTATCATATCCTAGTTTTCTAGTTGTCATTATAGTGAGTTCACCCTACTTATGAAAAGAAGAAAGAGAAGACTCAGAAACTGGTATCTATATGAACGAGTGGATTTTGCAGAACATTCTACAATCAAAGAGTACCACAACTGCTGGGCGTGGTGGTGCACACCTGCAATCCCAGCACTCAGGAAGGCAGAGGCAGGCAGACTGCTGTGAGTTCAAGGGCAGCCAGGGCTACAGAGAAACCCTGGCTTGAAAAACAACAACAAACAAACAAAAGTACTGCAAGTAAAGACCTGAAAGTTAACAGATGCATGTGGTGGAAAAATTAAGAGTTTTAGGGGCTGAGGAGTTAGAGAGAGGTGGCGCAGGGATGGAGAGCACTGGCTCCTACGGCAGCCCTAAGTCTGCTTCCTAGCATCTACTTGGTGGCTCACTGCATCTGTAATTCCAGTGGCAGGGATCTAATGCCCTCTTCTGGGCTCTGTGGGTACTGCAAGAACATGGTACACAGATATAATGCAGGCAAAACATGTAGGCACATGAAATTAATCTAAAATGAGCATGTAGGCATAAGGTTATTGTATAATTCAAATGCTGATTTCTGTAGCCTCCATATCTGGTTGCAGTCCTTGTTCTGAGAATCTCCTGTCTCGATGTTGTGTAAACACTGCTCCCCAATTGTCCCCCTGATAATGCCAATAAAGCAGCTCACAGCCAATAGCTGAGCAGGGGAAAGAATAGAGCTGGACTTCCTGCCAGCCGTGGAGGAGAAGGCAGAGAATAGGAAGTAGGGGATTGAGTTGAAAATGCCCAGGAGGGACCAGGAGAAGGAGCTGGAGAAGAAAAGCTACAAAGTGCATGTAACTCTGGGATGTTAATTTGGCTGGGAGGAAGCCAAATTAGCTTAGAGGGTTATGATTAGGGTAACAGCTGCTCAGTTTTTGTGCTGTGAAACTTACTATTAAATATAAAAGAGTCTCAATTATTTGTGTGATAGTTGGGTTAAGAGAGAAAGTAAGAAACAAACACAGTTTTATAAAAATAACCTTAACAAGAGCAGGTGTGGTGGCCCATACCTTTAATCCCAGCACTTGGGAGATAGAGGCAGGCAGATTTCTGAGTTCAAGGCCAGGCTGATTTAGAGAGTGAGTTCCAGGCAACCCTGTCTCAAAAAACCAAAACCAAACCAACCAACCAACCAACCAACCAAACAAACAAACAAACAAATAGTTTTAGGGGCTGGAGAGTTGGCTCAGTGGTTAAAAGCAGTTGCTCTTGCAAAGGACCCTAGTTTGTTTCCCAGAACCCACAAAGTGACTCACAACTCTAGTTCCAGGGGATCTGATACCCTCTTCTGAACACTGAAGGTACCAGGCATGCATGTGGTGCACATACATATATGTAGGCAAAACATTTATACATGTAAAATAAAATAAATCTAAAGGAAAATTTAAAAAAGAAAAATAAAGAGTTTTAATATGCTGGGAATGCTAACATGCCTTTAAGCACTAGAGAGGAAGAGGCAGATAGATCAATGTGAATTTGAAGCCAGCCTAGTCTACATAGCAAATTCTAGATTTACCAGGGCTATGCAATGAGAGCCTGTCTCAGGAGAGAGAATGAGTTAGTTTTCAATTGGGTGAGGTGGCATTTACCTGTACATACTTGGGAGACTCGGGCAGGAGAATTAACACATGTTCAAGTCTAGCCTCAACTAAACAAAGAGACTCTCATTCCAAAAAAACAAAACTAACAAACAGATTTCTAATGTCCATCTAGGAATATGCAGACAGACAGAAAAATAAGGCAGTAATAACACTAACAAAAATGATTGCCAGGTATACAGGTAGTGGTGTTTATAATCCCAACCCAGAGGCTAAAGCAGGAAGATCATGAGCTTGATGCCAACATGGGTTATACTGAGATCTTTCTAATTTAAAAAAGAAAAAAGGAGGTGGGGAGGGGCTGGATAAATGGCTTCACAATTAAGAACATTTCCTGCTTTTCCAGAGAACCTGAGTTCAGTTCAGCTCAAAACCATCTGTAACTATACCTCCAAAGAACTGTGATACCCTTCCTGGCTTCTGCAGCACTCTTACACACTTGACAGTCACTCACACATACATAAATACAAATAAAATTAAGACAAAAAGTTATACCAGAAAGAAACAATAACTGCCAGGCATGGTGGCATACAAATCTAATCCCAGCACACAGGGAGGCAGAGGCAGGCAGATCTCTATAAGCTCCAGGCCAGCCTGCTCTACAAAAAGAGTCCAGGACAGCCAAAGCTACACAGAGAGACCCTGTCTTGAAAAACAAAACAAAAAGAAGTCATTATATTCCCTATTCATCTGTGAATAATGATTACATGATTGTATCACTATAAGCCTTGAATAATGACCTACCTAAAAATTATGAACTGTATTGATGGGAGACAGCTGCTTTTTCACCTTTAGAGGCCAGGAAGTCCTTAAAGTACTGGTGTCCTCTGGCTAGTCATCCACAGCTGAATGCATAATACATACAGGTATGTATAAAAGTCAAAGATGGGGTTGGAGAGATGGCTCAGAGGTTAAGAGCACTGGCTGTTCTTCCAGAGGTCCTGAGTTCAATTCCCAGCACCCACATGGCAGCTCTCAACCATCTAAGATGAGATCTGGTGCCCTTTTCTGGCGTTCAGGCAGAACACTGTACATATAATAAGTAAATCTTAAAAAAAAAAAAAGTCAAAGACAGGGCAGGGCGCAGTGTCACACACCTTCAGACCCAGTTCTTGGGGGGCAGAGGCTGTGAGTTCGAGGACAACCTGGTCTACACAGTGAGTCCAGGACAGGTAGGGCTCTGATACACAGAGAAACCTTATCTGGAAACCCCCTTCCCACCACACATATATATGCGCGCGCGCGCA